GAGGGGTTTTCCCACTTTGACTGACTGACTTTGATCCATTAGAGTAAATACAGATAGCAGATCTACACTAGAACAGCTTTTCCAATATAGCTATACTGAGTCAACTATATCAGGACTAGGGATGTTAAATTTAGTTTAATCAACTAATTGATGGATTTTCCATCGACTAGTCGATAAGCGGGGAGCTGCAGCAGGGTTCGCTCCTGGCCTAGAAGTGCAGTAGTCTGGGAGGTGACCTTGTCTGTGAAGACAGAGGCAACAAAAGCCTTCAGCTTTTTTCTACATCATCTGTCACTAGGTTACCTCCCTCATCCAGTAAGTGTCCCACACCCTCTCTGATCACCCTCTTATTGCTAACATGCCTGTAGAAACCTTTCTTGTTACCCTTCACATCCCTTGCTAGCTGCAATTCCAATTGTGCTTTCGCCTTCCTGATTACTCCCCTGCATTCTTGAGCAATATATTTATATTCTTCCCTGATCATCTGTCCAATTTTCCACTTCCTTTTTGCATTTAAGTTCACCAAGGATTTCCTTGGTGTGATGGACCAGGCCAAGCCTGGGCACTGCTGAGGGCAAAACCAGGGCTTCTTACAGCCCTTGACTGGAGACCTTTCCCAAATAGGCCACAAACCAGTCAGAGAGAGCACTTCAGCTGCCAGTCTGGCCAGCAGGAAGCCTCACAAGCAAAACCCCTCAGACAACCCAGCTTTCCCTGTGCCACAATCAGCCCCGGACTTTACACAAAGGTGAGAGGTTATAAAACCCCATCTCACCAACTCCAAACAGATCCTCCCAGTCCCAAAGACCCAGCCACAGTCCCAGGCCAATTTACACTTCAGATCTTACCCCCCCGAGCATGCTGAGCCAATCCTTAAGAATCTAAAATCTAAAGGTTTATTAAAAAAGAAAGGAAAGGTTGAGAGTACGATTGTTAAGGAGAATACATTATATACATCAATCACCAAGTTCTTGATGCAGGCTCTTAGCAGAGAAATTACAAACTGCTACCTTAAAAGTCTCTGGTGCACATCCTGTAACAGTGTGGGTTAGCAATCCTTCCTGGCTCTGTCCCTAGCAAGGATGCATCTGGAATCAGGAGCAAGATTGAAGACAAGATGGAGACAGCCTCATGGGATTTTATATTCATGGTGTCTCCCAAACTAGAGCTGGTCACATGATCAAGTGACCTATCTCTGTTTCACAAGCAAGTAGCCATTATGCACTGGCTAGTCTGCAGGCTTCCAGATGCATTCCTCAGGTGTGTATTGGCCATTCTGAGAGCCATCGTCCATGGAGCAGTGCTAATTAGCACAGCTATTCACTGAACAATCCTTCCTTACAATAGTGATAGAAATGTAGCCCTGTTCGCAGGAGCAGATGACCGTTTTGCGGGGCCCCAGGCAGCATAATTCCACGGGGCCCCCCCTTTGTCACGGCGCATGCGCAGCGGCGCCACAGCGCATGCGCGGGGCTTTCTGAAGCGCAGGGCCCAGGGCGGCCGCCCCGTTCGCCCTGCCCTATATCCGCCCCTGCCAGCCCCACTCACAGGCAGCAGAAAGGTGGGGCGGGAAGTATAAGAATAGGGGCTGAGAGCTCAGTTGGAGCTCAGCGGCAGAGCAAGCCAGACGCTCTGCCCAAGCTCCTAAGGAGGAAAGCACGGCTGGCCTGCCCTAGGAGGGAAGACTGGGTTGGGCCACCAGGGCTGTGAAGACTGGCCAGAGCTGCCATGATCATTACCAGGCCCCAAAGACTGGCCTGGATGGCCCAGGCCTACTTCTGTTCTGAAATGTGATTTGTCCTTTTCATATGTGTTCATTTTTTTAAAATTGTATCCTTTGGTATATATGGTTGTGACTATTTTCTTCCACTATTTGATCTGAGGAAGCGGGTCTGGCCCACGAAAGCTCATCATCTAATAAACCATCTTGTTAGTCTTTAAAGTGCTACATAGTCCTGTATTTTCTTCCTTACAATAGGCAGTCCAGGTACATTGCTCCCTCCCAGACAGAGAACACTTACAATACAAGAACAGAGCCCATATTCATAACTCCACATACAAAAGTCATACATGTATATGGGTATCATACATAGAATCAGCAGAGCATAAGCTTTCATTTGTTACCTCACATGACCCATTTTGAACACAATTTAGGGCAAATGCCACCTGTGGGTGCAAGAATGAACTCTCTGCTCACTTTAAAATCCAATAATGTGAGACCTGGTAAGCCAGTCTGGACGCCTACCATATTTGCTTTTCTTACTGTGCATCGGGATGGTTTGTTCCTGCGCTTTCAATAAGGCATCTTTAAAATACTGCCAGCTCTCCTGGACTCCTTGCCCTTTCATGTTAGCATCCCAGGGGATCCTGCCCATCAGTTCTCTGAGGGAGCCAAAGTCTCCTTTTCTGAAGTCCAGGGTGTGTATTTTGCTGCTCTCCTTTCTTCCTTTGGTCAGGATCCTGAAATCTACCATTTCATGATCACTGCTGACCATGTTGCCACCTACATTTACTTCCCCTACTACCTCCTCCCTGTTTGTGAAGAATTGCTCAAGCTGTGAATGGACCCTGGTCAGTGTCTTCAGCACTTGTACCAGGAAGTTATCCCCAACATTCTCCAGAAATTTTCTGGATTGTCTGTGTACTGCTATATTGGTCTCCCAGCACATGTCAGAATGGTTAAAGTCTTCCATGAGAGCCATTACCAGTGATCTGGAAGCTTCTCTTAGTTGTCTGAACAAATCGTCGTCTACCTCATCCACCTGATCTGGTGGTCTATAGCAGACATCAATCACATCATCACCTCTGTTGCTCCCGCCTCTAAACTTAACCTAAAGACTCTCAACAGGCTTTTCTCCCGCTGTATACTGGAGCTCTGAGCAATTATACTGCTCTTACATACAGTGCAACTCCTCCTCTTTTTCTCCGCCGCCTGTCCTTCCTGAACAGTTTATACCCTTCCATGACAATGCTCCAGTTATGTGAGTCATCCCACCAAGATTCCGTTATTCCAATCAAATCATAGTTCTTTGACTGTGCCAGGGCTTCTAATTCTTCCTGTTTGTTTCTCAGGCTTCTTACAAACACCTTAGATAATTAGCTGATTGCCTTACCTTCTCTGCTTGAATCAGGGGTTCTCCTTTGCTGCTCCTTCCTTTTGCTTAATTCTTTTTACACTTTATTTTTAAAATTCTAAAGAACAGTATTTTATCATGTATGTTGAAAAAATTAATACTTAAAAATCCCAATTACTAAGAAAACATGGCACTTAACTAACAAGTAAGATGAATCTTTTGAAGAGCTAATATTCTTGTTCTGTATATTTGTCTTAAGAACAATTTTCACCATTAGTTGGCAGTGACTTCCAATTTATTTGTCCCAGCTATATGTCCTAGACCAGGACTACACACATCAATGCATGGATATTTTTATCCATCCCAAAAGCGTGCTACTTACTTTACAAAATGGTATACACTGTCCTCAGGAGTTTATAATCTAAAGCAGTGTTCATCAACCTGTAGATCAGGATCTACAGGTAGACCTTGGAACCTCTGACAGGTGATCCTGACTGGTTTGGCCAAGAGGTTATCAAGCACAGCACTTCAGCTGTCCCTCCCCCCACTATTGTGCATCTCCTGCTCTTTGCCTTGAAACTGCACCCTCAGGAGCCTCCTGTGTTCTGTGCTGTGCATGGGAGAGGAGGGTGCTGATGTCAGGGTGCCCCCTCTCCCACTCTGTATCCTATCACCACAGAACGGAGCAGGGCACAGCAGGACTTTGGATGGAGGTGGTTTGCTGGCTGCTTTTGGGAGTGGTGCTGGGCCAGTTAGCACCACTATACCACCACCTGAGGTAAGCAGGGCCCAGTTGGAGCCCATATCCTAAACTCCTACTCCAGTCATGAACCCCCTCCTGCACCCCAGACTTTTACCATAGCCCCAAGCACCCCTGCGTCCAAACACCTTTCCAAAGCCTGCACCTAGAACTCCCTCCGGCTCCCCAATTGCCTGCCGCAGGCTAAGATCAGAGCCCCTCTCGCAATCCAAATCCCTTAATCCAAGACCGGAGCCTGCACCCCAACTCTCTGCCCCAGCCTGGTGAAAGTGAGGAAAGATGGAGTGAGCAGGGGTCAGGGCCTCAGAGTAGGGGCACAAAGGAGGCGGGGCAAGGGTATTTGGGTATGAGCTAGATCTTGGATTATACTTAAATTCAAAAAGTGATCTTGTGCTTAAAAAGGTTGCAGACCACTGATCTAAAGAGACAAGGTACATATGAAGGAAATGAAACAGATTGCAACAAAAACACATCATTGAACAATGAAGCTGCCATGTATCTCATTAGTTCCATATTTTGTTCAGGGTTTTTTTTGGTGTCCAGCTATTCCCATGTATATTGTTGACGTTGCTTTGAAGGGAGTGTTATGATTTGTCGGCCTCTAGGAATGTGTGTGTTTAAGATTGGATTATGGAAAGCAAAGTCAAAAAGGGGATAGTTCCCTCCATGTATGGAAGTGAATGAAAAAAGGCAGAGAGAGATCACCATTTCCTTGGGGCTCTTAGAGCAGTAAACCTGCATCTCGAGCGTGAACAAGGAATTTAAATATGATGCCCAAGGTAAATGGATTAGAAATCAGATGAGGACAGAACCAGGATCCAGATGCCATGAGGGAAAGGAGATGAAAATGTATACTGTATGCCTTTCATGTATTGAAACTGAGCAACTTAAGTCAGTGTTTTCATAGAGCAGGATAATTAGTTTGTCCTTTCTCTCCCTACCTTTCTTCGGTTCTTTTAATTTTATTGTATTATAAATATCTTTAGCCTTTATTAAATTTACAGAGAAACAATTAACTACAGTGAAATAAATGTTAGCAGTATATTCTCTCAAGAAACAATATTAACATTAAGTTTTCTAATATTTGTGTAGTTTTTTCTGTAAATATCAGACTGATATAGATTTAAGATATTCATATCCACAAAAGAAATATTATTTCAAATATGTTTTAAAGTAATTTTAATATTTGGTATTTCAGGAGGTAGAAAACAATTAGCATTCAGTAATGACAAAAAATGAACGGTGTAATGAAACTTTTGAATCCAAAGAGATGGCTGCAAAATATCAAGAATACCAATATTACTTAATGTCTTTGTTGTGTCTTACAAAGTAGTTAACAAATATGTTAATAGTTTAAACATCAATTAAAGTTTCAGCTGCCCAGAAAAGATCTTCTCATAAAGTTCTTTGGTTAGTGGAACGTAAGATTTTTTAGAACGGTCTAAAAAATACAGTTGATCAGTGATTGAAGATGGATTAAATCCCTCGCTCACCAACTTAAATTTTTGTTGTTTGAAAGTTCCGGTAACTTCCATTATTTCCTAGGGAAGAAAGAAAGTTATTTGAAATTCAGTGGAAATATTTAAATTCTTTTTCTCTTGTGTTCCTGGACATCTGCCTATTTGATCTATGTGTAAGATTGGTTTATCCAATGATGCCAAATTTCCATCCCTTAAGTAACTAACCCACGACTAGTCTGAAATATACTGCTTATGATTCAAAACCACATGGAGCGGAGCAAAGCAGAAGTGTAGTTGGCTGACTGACAGCTCTGTGGTGACAACATTTAACCTCTTATGTAATCTGGGCCTTAGTCTTTTTATTGTAGCCTAGCCTGGGTCACATTCCAAGTTTCCTTCTTCCTCTGTTAAATATTCACACAAACAGATTATATTAGAGGCATTTTCTTCCTCCCTTCCTCTTGAAGGACTGAGCCACAGAACTGCCATGGTGGTATAGCACAAGAGTTTGAAACAAGAGGGAAGAAAGCTGCAAACTGTATTTTGGACCTTGCATCTGGAGTGTCAAATTAAAGGCTTTGTAAGGGGCCCCCCACATTTCATTGAAATAGTGCAGCTTCCTAACTACTCTACATTTGTGGATGCTTACAAAGAGAAAAGTTTAGGAAGATATTCACATAGTACCCACTGCCATCAATCAAGAGTCTCTAATGTACATAAGCCTCTCTGAATTCCCAAAGTAAGTTCCCTTAGGAGGTGTGTTACTAATACCTTTCACAAAAACTGAAGATGGAAAAGTCACATTGGCTCATCTAGTCTATCCACTTGCTAGTGAAGGATTGCCCTCTACTACTCATTCTGTATTATTCTGTCTAGGAATGTAATCCTAATTAACCAATTAAATGGTTCCTAGCTCTCAGCCACTGTCAACAGCAGGCCTGGGCTCCCCGTGGCCAAAGATTGCTCCAGTCACCACCATTAGAATGATGCTAACCAGTTAAACTTTTGCATCCCTAGTTCTGTCTAGTCTATTTTTTCAAGTCACCACTTCCTTGCGGATGGAGAAGGGCTAGTCAGAATCTCATACATCTGTCAACAAGTTTTTTCTTCCCTGTTTAGCCTAGTTTGCTTTTCTGAACATAATTCCTCTTTCCCCTTGCTATGAACACCCTTTTGAAATTTGTAGCATTAACTCCTGCACCTTACTGTTATGTCATATTGCAAATGCATGTCTAATTCACTGTCCACTATCACCTCTTCTCTTTCAACATTATTTTCCCAGTTCTCTCCCCCCTCCTATTAACTATATAGATTTCAGATTTTCTGCAGATGCCTTTGTTCCCATTTACTAATCTGGATATTTGTTGTTCTGTCCATGTTTCTAATCTCTCTAAATGCTTTTGTATTATTTCTGTTCTGACAGCTGTACATGACTCCTCCCAGTTTGGCATAATCTGCAAATTCTATTAAGATGTGTAATTCCCCCTTTCTAGATCATTATTGAAGAGGATACACAGGACTGGTCATTGCATCCATCTGTGTAATACATCATCAGATACCGAGGGCCTGTATCCAAGACATTACAGAGGCATTGTCGAGGATTATCCGGCCCTCTGACTATTACCCCATGCTACTCATGCATGTGGGCACTAATGATACTGCGAGGTGTGACACTGAGCGGATCAAGAGTGACTACAGGGCTCTGGGAGTACGGGTGAAGGAGTTTGGAGTGCAGGTGGTATTCTCCTCAGTCTTTCCTGTCAAAGGTTGGGGCGCAGGCAGAGAGAGGTGCATCCTAGAGGTGCATCTTGGCTGCGAAGATGGTGTTGCCAGGAGGGCTTTGGCTTCTTCGACCACGGGATGCTATTCCAGGAATGACTGCTAAGCAGGGCTGGTGTTCACCTTTCAAAGAAGGAGAAGACCGTATTTGGATGCAGACTGGCTAACCTACTGAGGAGGACTTTAAACTAGGTTCAATGGGGACAGGTGACCAAAGACCATGGGTAAATGAAGAACATGAAGACTTGGGAGATGGGTCGGAAATGGGAGGGAGTGTGGACTATAATAGCAGAAAGAAAGGAGGGACAAGGCAGAACTAGGAGACAAATCAGTATCTTAGATACAAATGCAAGAAGTATGGGTTATAAGAAGGGAGAACTGGAAGTGCTAATAAATAAATACATCTATGACATCGTTGGCATCACAGAGATTTGGCGGGATAATACACATGATTAGAATATTGGTATAAAAGGGTACAGTTTACTCAGGAAGGACAGGCAGGGGAAAAAGGGAGGAGGTGTTGCCTTTTATATTAATATTGTACACACTTGAACTGAGGTGGAGATGGACGTAGGAAATAAACATGTTGAGTCTCTGGGTTAGGCTAAAAGGAGTAAAAAACAAAGGTGATGTTATACTAGGGGTCTACTACAGGCCACCTACCCAGGCGGAAGAGGTGGATGAGGCTTTTTATAAACAACTAACAAAATCATCCGAAGTACAGGATTTGGTGGTGATGGGAGACTTCAACTATCCAGATATATGTTGAGAAACTAACACAGCGGGGCACAGACTATCTAATAAGTTCATGGACTTCATTGAAGACAACTTTTTATTTCAGAAGGTTGAAAAAGCTACTGGGGGAAGCTGTTCTAGTTTTGATTTTAACAAATAGGGAGGAACTGGTTGAGAATTTGAAAGTGGAAGGCAGGTTGGGTGAAAGTGATCATGAAATCATAGAGTTCGTGATTCTAAGGTATGGTAGAAGGGAGAACAGCAAATTAGAGACAATGGATTTCAAGAAGGCAGATTTTCGTAAGCTCAGAGAGCTGGTAGGTAAGGTCCCATGGGAGGCAACACGGGGAAAAACAACTGAAGAGAGTTGGCAGTTTTTCAAAGGGATATTATTAAGGGCCCAAAAGCAAGCTATTCCGCTGCGTAGAAAAGAGAGAAAATATGGCAAAAGACAGCCTTGGCTTAACCAGGAGATCATGCATGATCAAAAATAAAAAAAGTCATAAAAAATGGAAACTAGGACAAATTACAAAGGATGAATATAGGCAAACAATACAAGAATGCAGGGGCAAGATTAGAAAGGTAAAGGCACAAAATGAGCTCAAACTAGCTACAGGCATAAAGAAGACATTTTATATAGTAGAAGCAAGAGGAAGACCAAGGACAGAGTAGGCCCATTGCTCAGTGAGGGGGGAGAAACAGTAACAGGAAACTTGGAAATGGCAGAGATGTTTAATGACTTCTTTGTTTCGGTCTTCACTGAGAAGTCTGATGAAGAAATGCCTAACATAGTGAATGCTAGTGGGGAGGAAGTAGGTTTATAAGATAAAATAAAAAAAGAACAAGTTAAAAATCACTTAGAAAAGTTAGATGCCTGCAAGTCACCAGGGCCTCATGAAATGCATCCTAGAATACTCAAGGAGCGGATAGAGGAGGTAGCCGAGCCTTTAGCTATCATCTTTAGAAAATCATGGAAGACGGGAGAGATTCCAGAAGACTGGAAAAGGGCAAATCTAGTGCCAATCTATAAAAAGGGAAATAAGAACAACCCAAGAAACTACAGACCAGTCAGTATAACTTCTGTGCCAGGAGAAATAATGGAGCAAGTTATTAAGGAAATCATCTGCAAACACTTGGAAGATAATAAAGTAATAGGGAACAGCCAGCATAGACTTGTAAAGGAATCATGTCAAACCAATCTGATAGCTTTCTTTGATAGGATAACGAGTCTTGTGGATAAGGGAGAAGCGGTGGATGTGGTATACTTAGACTTTAGTAAGGCGTTTGATACGGTCTCGCGTGATATTCTTATCAGTAAACTAGGCAAATACAACTTGGATGGGCCTACTATAAGATGGGTGCATAACTGGCTAGATAACCATTCTCAGACAGTAGTTATCAACGGTTCACAATCCTGCTGGAAAGGTATAACAAGTGGGGTTCCGCAGGGGTCTGTTTTGGGACTGGTTCTGTTCAATATCTTCATCAGCTACTTAAATACTGGCATAAAGAGTACGCTTATTAAATTTGCAGATGATACCAAGCTGGGAGGGATTGAAACTGCTTTGGAAGACAGGTGTAGGGATAACATATTAATGTATTGAAAATGATTCCCCCAAATGGAAGTGACTCCCCATAATTTGTTCCCCACAACTTAAAGTGTTTAGATTTATTAGGATTCTTCTTATTATTATTATTTGTTAAGATTGTTAAATGTTTAGATTTATTATTATTATTGTCCCTTTAGAATATAATATATTAGGTCATGTAACTTAGAACTGTTAAAAATATAATCCTAACTGTTAAGAATATAATCCTATGTAGCCAGAAACAGCCCCCCCACCCCCCTCCGTGCTCCAGGGCATGCTCAAGCTTGTGCAAGGGGCTGCTTGAAATTAACATTGCAGAGATACATTGTAACAATGCATTGTCAAGCCACTAACTCTGCTATGGGAGCCAAGCCCTGTAATTGACTAAGGGCATTGTTACATAATTGACGCCTGTTATGAATGAATGGTTTTGAGAGGTGCCAGCCTGAGAATACAGCAACAAAGGGCTGAAGAAGGCGTCAGGTGCCAGTGCAACCAAAAGGTGTCAAGTGGAGAAAACCAAGTACTGGAGGTCCATCCGATGAGATCACTGACAAGCACCTGGCAGCCACCCTGGAAACATCAGCATGATGCAGCAATTTCCATAGACTGGCATAGGAAGAAATTCCCATAAGAACTGGACTAAAAAAACTATGGAATCAGAGTCCAAGGTTCTGCTGCCAGCCTACCAGGAGCTTCAGATGCGCATCTGATCAGGACTTCGCTCCCCACTACCATCACTTGTGTACAAAATACCTGGCCAGTATTCTGTCACAAGCAACTTCCAGGCTGGTAACTATACACAGAACTTGAATAAATGGATGTATGAATAAATGGTTTTATATATATATAAATGGTTTTATATATATATAAAAGTGTATAAGGGTTAAGTAGTGATAGGAATAAGTAGTTAAACAACGTTGTTTGCTTCTATCTTTTCTTTATTTTTTTATTATCTTTACAATAAATGTGGCTTTTTGCCTTATCCCCCGTCATAAGATCCTGCTTGCTTTTATTTGGTACAACACAGGGTCATAATTCAAAATGATCTGGACAAATTGGAGAAATGGTCTGAGGTAAACAGGATGAAGTTTAATAAGAACAAATGCAAAGTGCTCCACTTAGGAAGGAACAATCAGTTTCACACATACAGAATGGGAAGCGACTGTCTAGGAAGGAGTATGGCAGAAAGGGATCTAGGGGTTATAGTGGACCACATGCTAAAAAGGAGTCAACAGTGTGATGCTGTTGCAAAAAAAGCAAACATGATTCTGGGAGGCATTGACAGGTATGTTGTGAGCAAGACACAAGAAGTCATTCTTCCACTCTACTCTGCGCTGATTAGGCCTCTGTTGGGCGTATTGTGTCCAGTTCTGGGCACCACATTTCAAGAAAGATGTGGAGAAATTGGAGAAGGTCCAGAGAAGAGCAACAAGAATGATTAAAGGTCTAGAAAACATGACCTATGAAGGAAGACTGAAAGAATTGGGCTGTTTAGTTTGGAAAAGAGAAGATTGAGAGGGGACATGATAGAGGTTTTCAGGTATCTAAAAGGGTGTCACAAGGAGGGGGAAGAAAAATTGTTCTTTCTGGCCTCTGAGGATAGAACAAGAAGCAATGGGCTTAAACTGCAAGGGAGGTTTAGGTTGGACATTAGGAAAAAGTTCCTAACTGTCAGGGTGGTTAAACACAAATAAATTGCCTAGGGAAGTTATGGAATCTCCATCTCTGGAGATATTTAAGAGTATGTTAGATAAATGTCTATCAGGGATGGTCTAGACATGGTTGGTCTAGTACTGGGTCCTGCCATGAGGGCAGGGGGCTGGACTCGATGACCTCTCGAGGTCCCTTCCAGTCATAGTATTCTATGATACCTCTCCTTCAATCCACCATATTGCCTTTTATCATCTTTGTTAGTAGTCTGTTCTCATGTGGATGTTTGTGTACTACTCAATGAATATAGATTACCTGGAGTCTTAAAAATATTGGGCAAGCATACCCTGGAAGATACATCACAACTTGTTCATACATTTGTTTCAGATCTAATGATCTATTAGGCTTTAATACAACAGAGACCATTCCCACATTTCCTTCATGACCTATGGAGGGGGGGAAAAAAGGTTAAATTAGATATATTCTACATATGTCCAACACTTTGAATTTTACTGTAACTTTACTTTAAAAATGAAATATTAATATATCGAAAACTTGTGTGAATAAGTAGGTCATCTTACATTCCAATCAAATGATAATATGCAAACGAATACACAACATGACACAAAAGCTTTACTGGAATAGATGTGGAATGTCTACATTATTCATGTATGAGAACCCTAAGTGAGCTATGTATGCAGTCTCAAAGGAGTCCCTTGTACCTCATTACCATATTATATATTTTGTCACACATTTTATGGGTAAAATTGAATGTCTGAAAATAACTATCAAGTACTGGAAAGTAACTCAAGTACTATTAGAACTTTTTTGGAGTAGGTTTTCTGCATTACTTATTAGCCACTCGCAGGTCATGCAGGATATTCCAGATGAGTGCTTCTGCCACTCTGGAGTAAAGTAACACCTTAAACTCATAACAAACATATCCCCCTGCCATAATGTAGTCCTAATTTTAATACACGGAGAGTAGCTGCCACTATGTGACGCAATGGGGACTGTATTCACTCTGTTCGCTTGTCATGTTGTTTGTGTTTTCTACGGTCTTGTGCTGCTCTGTTGTAACTTTTTGTGTGTGCCTCAGTTTCCCTGGGCACAGCCCTGGTGCCCAGCTGGGAATGGGAGTTTTGGGTGTGACTCTCACTGTGGGGAGGCTGCTCCTGGCTGTCCAGCCCAACATGTAGACAATGGATCAGGCTCTCTTGTAACCTGTGCCTAATTGGGTGGTGCACCTGGATAACATCTTTTGCCCCAGGAAGCTGGACAAAGGAGGAGGCAGGGCTGCCTGCAGGCTGGGTCTGAGAGGGAGTCTTGGCTTGCTTAGGATTCAGGGAGGGGGCCCAGGACCCTGGCACTGGTTCTCCCCTCCCCAAGATGGATTGTATTGACTGCTCCTGTTTCCTGTGCTAACAAGTCTGTGCTACGCTGTGTCCCTGTGAACAAACAAACCTTCTGTTCTACTTGCTGACAGAGTCACATCTGGCTGCAGGTGGGGGTGCAGGGTCCACACACACTCCATGACACTAAAAATTCAGTATTGGCCAAAAGTTGGCCCAAAGTGGCATGTAAGATATTGTTAATATTCCCTTTTTTAACTTAGGTAAAAACTGTGGTATTTGACCAATGTTGAATATACAATGGACACCACAGTAATCCTGATTTTCAGTTACAATAAGGCTCCTTTACATTGGTTTTGCACATTAAAGGGGATTTAAAATGGGAGTAAATTACATTTGACCTACTTACAAACCCCTTTACTCTCCACATAGGATGTAAAGAGGAATTAGCATTAAAGGAAATCAGGCCCAAACTGTTTTGGGCAATTTTTGGTTCTAATCATATTGCTTTACATATTTTATTCATTTATTTTTAGATTCCTATTAATAATTCTCACTTGGAACTAGTTTACTGCACTGAGTTAATTATGAAAGCAAGCTAGCTCAAATGTTTGGTTTACTGTGGATTATTTTAAAATGTATGTGCTTACAAGTGTTTTGCTTCCTTTGCTCTATTGCAATGTTTCTATTTTTCCATACAGATGTTTGGGTTTCTTAGATACCTTATGAATGATGCTCAGAGGAGCTATTCAAGTTATGTAGTAGACCCAAATTCATAGGAAAATAGCCTTTATAATACAAAAATATGCGTGTCTCATTTCCACAAAGTACAGGATTAACTGGGTGATCCACAATCTTTTGCTATCAGAGTTATCCTTGAGAACTTTTTAGAGAGTTGAATGTTAAATAGCCAAATGAATTAAAGGTGATTGTATAGCTTCGTAAATCCAAACATAAGAGTTAAGAGGAGCAGAAGAATGAATTTAAGGAAAGCCTCTAGAAATAAAAGGTTTTTACCTGGCACAGGAACACCATATACATTGGCATCCTGAATGAAGTCCAACATACCAATGACATCAGAAACTTCAGTGGTTGAAACATTCTCTCCTTTCCATCTAAACGGGGTGGGGAATGGAGAACAAGACACTGTGCCCTCATAAAAACAAATGAGTGCAATATACTCTTGATGAATGGCATAAGATCTTTAGAGGAAGGTGACATTCATATTATTATTTATGTGTATCATTATTGTGCTTAAGAAGCTCCAGACGTGAGCCTTCACTATTATACAAATTAATAGTAACATTACCTTTAATACAAATTGATTGCATTGGACTAATATACCCTAGCATGTTCAGTTAGTATGTTGCTCTGATCACCATAAGAGTAAGCTTTGTTAAAACTGCTGCATTTAAAAATAAATAAATGAACAGAAGTAAATCCTATCCTAATCTGAAATTTTCAAAATTTATATTCTGCTAAATTTACCAAATGTTGACATCTACTGTATTTGATAAATTTCCCCACTTTTCTACTTCCGTATGCCAAGTCTCCTTGCTCAGCAACACAGCAACCATTTGCTAGAATGCTCATAGGAAGGACCATGAGGGCTGTTTAGTGAAAATCTGCCACAAAATAAAGTTATATAAGGTTGTATGCTGCTCACAAAATTAAACACTAGCCCTGCTTGATACTTCAAGAATGGATCTGAATCAGAGACTCTTGGGAGAGAGAAGGAAAACAGATCAAGCAATATAATCCTATCGCACGCACCAATGCTTTGTAATAAAGACACGGTGATTGTACCTGTAGGTATCCCCGATCCTGTCCCAAAAGTAAAGAAAATTCTCTTTGTCTTGAACCATCAGATCCCCGGTGTTGAAGTAAAGGTCTCCTTTCTTGAACACCTCATGGAGCAATTTCTTTTCTGTATGTATCTTGCTCCCAGTATAACCAAAGAAAGGATTTTTTACATTCACTTTGGAAATGAGAAGACCAGCCTCACCTACAGAGAAAAGTTAAGGTGAATAGTGATGTAAGATGTGACATGTTAATTTACATTGTTAAATGACTACATATCCTACACTTACAATATTAAGATACCAGATCCCCTCCTTGATATAGTGGAATTGGTGTATGAGAGCCAACAACCAATATATTTTATGCTCTACTGCCTTGCACTTTTGCAGCTGTCCCAGTGTATGCAAACTATTGCCAAATAGGAAATGTAGTGTTTTACATTGTAAGAAAGGACATAATGGGTCTGAGCCATGGTCTGTCTAGCCCAGTATCCTGCCTTCTAATAGTGGCCAGTGCCAGGTGCTTCAGAGGGAATGAACAGAACTGGTAAACAAGTGATCCATTCCCCATCACCCATTCCCAGCTTCTGGCAAATGGAAGTGAGAGATACTTCAGACAGTGGTCCCCAACGTGGTGCCCGCGGGTGCATGGTACCCGCCAAGCCATTTGTGTGTGCCTGCCAAACAATCTGGGCTGGCCCCACCCTCAGGTGCGTGGCACATACGCGGTGCTGGCCACAGGCGCATGGGCCATGGGCGGCCTCTGCCCCGGGTGCGCGGCAGAAGCGCGGTGCCGGCCCCTGGTGCATGGGCGGCCCCTGGCCCGGGTGCGTGGAACCCCCAGGCCAGGCGGCCCCAGCCCCCGGCGTGCAGTGCATGTGTCAGTCCCCCCGCCCTGGGCGCACGGCGCATGCGCGGCCCTGCCCCAGGCTCATGTGCAGCCCCACCCCAGGGCACATGGCCTGTGAACGCCCCCGCCCCCGGCAGCCCGAAAAGGTTGGGGACCACTGCTTCAGAGAATGACTTTGCATTTCTGTCTGTCCTAGCTAATAGCCAGGGCTCAACAAATAGCTATATCTACTCTCCTGTGGCGAGTAGATTTCAGCCAGTTGCCCCGTTCACCGGCGCTGCGCACATGCACAGTGCCAGTCTGGCACATGCGTGGTGCGGGGCTGGCAAGAAGATCTCGCCGCAGTTCGTCGAGCCCTGCTAATAGCCATTGGTTGACCTATCGTTCATGGACTCCTCTAGTTCTTTTTTGAACCCTGTTATAGTTTTGTCCTTCAACATCCTCTGGCAAAGAAGTCACACAATGCACAAACATGTGTGGAAGAAATAATTTCTTTTGCTCATTTTAAACCTGATGTCTATTAATTTCATTTGGTGGTGACCCTTAGCTCTTGTGTTATGTGAAGTAAATAGCATTTCCTTATTTATCTTCTCCTCACCAGTTATAATTTTACAGGCCTCTGTCATATTCCTTCCCTAGTCATCTAATTTTCAAGCTGAAAAATCATTTTCTATGCCCCTAATCATTTTGTTGCCTTTCTGTACCATTTCCAATTCCAAGATATCTCTGTTGAGATAAGGGGGAGGGGAGATGGAACTAGATCTGCACATGGAATTCAAGATGTGAGAATACCATAGATTTATATAGAGGCAATATGATATCTCCTGTTTTATTATCCACCCCTTTCTTAATGATTGCTGACTACACCATTAGCTTTTTTGAATGTTGCTGCATATTCGGTGGCTGTTTTCAGAGAACTATCCACAATGGCACTAAGATCTCTTTCTTGAGTGGTAAAAGCTAATTTGGACCCCACTTTTTTATGCATAATTGGAATTGTTTTCCAATGTGCATTACTTTTCATTTATCAACACTGAATTTCATCTGTCATTTTGTTGCTCAGTCACCCAGTTTTGGGAGATTCTTTTCTAATGGCTTGCAGTCTGCTTTGGGCTTACCTATTTTGAGTAGTTTTGCATCACAAGCAAGTTTTGCGATTTCACTGTTTATACCTTTTTCCAGATGATTTGCAAAGATGCTGAACAGTGTTTTCTCCAGTACAGAGCCCTGGTGGACACCACTATTTACCTCTCCATTTTAAAAACTAACTGCTGATTCCTACTCTTTGTTTTCTATTTTAACTAAGGATGTTACATATTGGTTATTTTAAAAATCGTGTAGCTGCAACAATTTTTAGCGGATACATAGTTACTAAAATGCTCCCCCCAAGGGGCAAGGCTGGCAGCCTGCATGGGGTGACTGGCAGAGCTGGTACACAAGGGGAACTGGTTTTAAAACCATCTCCCTGCGCATACAGCTCCTGCCTGATACAGAGGCAGCAGTGTGGGTTGGGAGTGGAGAGGGGCGGGGACGGGCAGCTCCCACCTTCCCCCCCTTGCTGCTTCTGATACAGAGACAGTAAGGGGTGTGTGTGCACATGCAGTTTAAATGGTTAACCAATAAGCCCAGGCTAATCGGTCAATCCTTTAAACAACTATATGCTAACATCCCTAGTCTTAACCATTGACTGATCCAGGAGGAAACCCCTCCTCTTATTCCATTAACTCTTTACAAGTGAAGTATCACAGCAAAAGTTGCAAGAAGGTGAAGGATCAGGCCCTATTATCTTTTAGGAATATCACTCACCATATGATTGGTCTGGTAACAAAATACCCCTCCCTCGAAGAAAGATTAGACCTCACTTTTCTTACTGAATTTTTAATTGTCTATGTTAGTTTCCTTTTAATACTCAAAAGAAAGTAGTCAGGATTTGCATAACTGTGTGGCTAAAATGAGGTATTAAGCTCATATTTAATAGTCTGATTTTTCAAGAATACTGTGTCCCAACATTTTGTACTTAAGTCCAAAAAGTAAAGTGGATTGCACAGAATCTCTTTTCTTTCAGTTAACATATGAAAATGAATCAAATGTATTTTCAGAAAATACAAGGGAAATTAGGAAAGGAAATAAGTCTGCTTATTGCACACAGAGTGCCTGGGGGTGCATTCGTTTGTTACATATGGAACGCTTCTATTGACTGGTTGGACACACTATCCAGTGCATTCCTGAAATGGTTGATTCTGTCCCTGAATACTCTGGAGTAACCCCTACCCTCCCAAGCTTTAACTACAAGGTCTCATATTTATGAAAGAAGCATTCTCTGAACAGTAAAAGAGTTACATTTTTCTAGCAGAGAAAAGTATTCTGATAAAAATATACTCCAAAGGGATGATGAGCATTACAAGGAATTTTGAGCCAAATGCTGGAGAAAGCATAACAAGACTCCATAAAAAGGGTTTTCCCTGCTTTTCTTAGATTCATAGAGTTTAAGACCAGAAGGGACTGTTAGAACATCTAGTGTAACCTCTTTGATGTCATAGATCATTAATTTTACTCAGTTACCCGAGTATTGAGTCCTATAACTTTTCATTTAAGATATGAGTGTACCATGGATTTATAAAGAGGCAAGATGATATCTTTACCTTTAACATGTAATCCACCATTTCCCTCTGCAGTTTGTCCTACTGCTTAAATTAATCTTAACAATTTATGCCTCATTTCTAATTCAAAGATTTACCTGGCATTGCTCAAGTCGTTAACTCAATTAATTTTTGGTTTTCTTCATTTAAATCATTGTTCTGAGGTGAGGCAGGGGATGAAGGGGTTCAGTATGCAGTCAGTCTTGAGAAGAGAGGATAACCTCAGCCCTCTCTCACAGCAGTAGCTTGGGGCCAGGTGAGAAGCACCTCTCTATGGTGGTTTCAGCTCCTGTGGGCACAGCCAGGCAAGAGGTGATGCCCCCCAGCTGTGGAGAGTCCAATTCATTTCCCCCCCCCCCTGTGTTCCCCAGACAGAGTGAGGAAATGTAGTAAACTGTGCACTTTCCCCTCGCTCTGTGACTAAGAGGGAACAGCCAACAATGTTCCTGTACAAATTTGGGTGGGGGGGAGGAAATTTCTGCCCCCGTCTCCCTAAAGAGTGCATGGGGGTGGGAGGCTTGGAGGTGGGACAGTCCTAGATGGCAGAGGGGGGGAGCATGCCCCAGGCCATCCCCTTTCACCTACCTGAGGCTGTCTTTTCTGTATGGTTTTATGAGAAGCAATCCCATTCTGGTCACATCCTATTTTCCTGGCATAACCAAACCCTTACCTTGCTTTGAGTTATGGTAAGAGGAAGCTATATACTGAATTTGGTGGTCCTAGCTCTTACCTTTAAGAGGAGTTCTTGAACAAACACACAAACGTTCTCAAATATATAGTAGAATGAAATTTGTCTGACTTCAGCTTTTAGCCATTGGTTCTTGTCATGCTTTGCTCTGCTAGATTAAAGAGTCTGTGAGTACCTGCTATTTTCTCTTTATACACATCAAATTGTCTCTCAATCTTTTTGATAAAACTAAAAAACAGAGTTTGTGTTCAGTTTTTCATAGCAAGGCATTTTCTGCAGCCCTCTGTTTTTGTACACTCTCCAATTTTACAACATGCTTTTTAAAATATGGAAGTTTGACCTGCATACAGTACCTCTCTCTCATTGTTAATGTATACAGAGGTAAAATCATCTCCCTAATCCTACTTACCACTCCCTACTTATGTGTCCAACGATTGTGGTGGCAAAAAGGGCCAATGAATCTCACTAAGGGCTCACTCTGTCGCTTCAGGCCAATTCCACAAGCAAAATATACAGGGAAGGATTGGAACTTAACTTCATTTACACGTTTAATTCTTATGCAAATGGTATGAATAGTGACATTGGCTGGCTCCCACACTATCTTCCACCTCCTAATGACTTAACCAACCAACCAAACAATGGAGGTGCTAATTGTTCTTATCAGTCTCTTTGAATCGGTCTCTTTGTAACTATTTGAATCATCTATTCACTGTCTCTCTCTTTTTTCTTTTCCCTTCCTTTTTTCTCTCTCCCCCCTTTCCTTATTTATTCTTGGATCTGGATTTCTAATATTTCAGTCATCTGAAGAAGTGTGTTGTACCCACGAAAGCTCATGATACCATTTACATGTTTTGTTAGAATTTAAGGTGCTACTAGACTATTTATTATTTTTTAAGTTTTTCCTGTTACAGACTAACTCAGCTACTCTTCTGAAGTTTATGGAGTTACTTAATATACCCCCTTAGCTCATTAAGCCTGCTGATTTGATAGGCATAGTGTTATAGGCTATTATTAGCTGGTGTTAGTATTTTATCACCTGTAACATTAACACACTTCATTTTTAAAAAACCTGTAAGTTATTTATGGGCTGGATATGTCCTGTTATAATGAATTCTTACCTTTCTTAACCTTCTCACACCAACCATGCTTATTTCTAATCAGTTCATCTTTCTGAATATCATACTTGATTAAGTCAAAAGGGAAAAAAAGCTGAAAAGAGAACACAGATGGGCCATCAGTTATGTCTACATAGCGACATCTGGTGGCAGCAAAAGTAAGCAATAAAACAACTTTTGACACAGCACTCAAATCTTTTTCTATTAAAGGTAAAAAGCAGTTTTATGTAAATACTGTCCAAAATGGTGCAAGCTATTACTGGAAAAAAGCAACACCTGATTTTAATAACCTTGTAAGAGTAAAACTATCTCATTTTCATACTGCATCTTGTGGAACAACTATGGCCCTTATTTGCCATTGGAGTAATGTACCAGGATCAGCACCAATATGTGGTTATGGAACCAGATCTGCAACTTCAGCTGCAGTATTTAATAGTGGTATCTGCTACAAAAACTACTTCTGGGACCAGAGCCTTAGTTTGCATATTTCAGTGTTGCTCCATTTACTTCACTGGACCCATGCTAATTTATTCCAGCTGAGGATCTAGCCCATGGTTTTTAACATTGTTTGCTAACAAGGATGCTTGAAGTTGCAGATTTTGGGAAGTCTCATTAACAGCAGATTAAAGTGTCAGAAAAGGATTGCAGATGAACCAAAAGCAACACTCCTTTGGATCCTAACAACTCTCACTTCATTTAGTACCAGAGTATGGCAAAAGCCTCATTTTTGTAAAGCTGTAGACCTGTGCTACCTGAATGAGATGACTTTAGAATATTCTACTTCCCTAAATGTAGCCTTCTCACTTCAAGGCACCAATCCTGCTCAGGGGGACTTACTTCCTCTGTTTGAAGGCATAGGGGGACAGGAGTTTCTACACTCCTCCAGTCACATACATTGCTATTCTGATTGATCCCTGTGTGGACTGCACACCAGGGTTAGAGCTGGGGTGAAAGGCTCCCTAGACACTTCTCTTTCCTCAGACCAGAGAATATCTGGCCCTGGAGGCAGGAAAGGCCCTGTATTCTTCCCAACATTTGAAACCCAGGCACTTGTTCTCATTAAATACACAATACCTCATTTTCATCTACATTTAGGGCTTTGTCTTCATATCCAACAGAGCAGCTGTGCTGCTGTAGCACTTTAGTGAAGCTGCTCCTATGCTGATGGGTTAATTCACCTCCTCAAAAGGCTCTTCCCCAAACATAGCACTGTCTACATGAGGAGTCAGATTGGTATTATATGGCTATGATATTCAGGGGTGTGGATTTTTCACAACCCTGAACAACAGTTAAACCTATATAAGTCTGTAGTGTAGACATGGCCTAAGGAACCTTTACACTGCCAGAGTGGTATTAAGGAGTTTTTCTAACAGACTTAGAGTCTGTTATCACAGCAGCAGATATAGGGCAGGGCGAGCAGGGCGGCTGCCCTGGGCCCCGCGCTTCAAGAGGCCCTGCTATGGCGCATGCGCCGTGTCAAAGGGGGGCCCTGCAAAATTGTGCTGCCTCGGGCCCCGCAAAACCCTCATCCGCCCCTGTGTTATCATATGCACAGGGAGAATTACTTATCAGATATTCACTTATCTTTCAGTGCACACATTTAGTCTGCCTCTAGTGTCTTAAAGAAATGCATCAGTAGTGCTTGTAAAAGCAGGACTAGCAAAGGATTTATGGCAATCTTTGCAGAAGCAGCTCTGACATGACCAATGGGAAAGAAAATAATTGTAAATATATATTTTTAAATCATAGAACTTGTTTTTCTTCCAACAAAAAAATGCAAATCCAATAGAATGGAATTAGGAAGATATCTCAAGTTATGGATAAGACGTAAAACATAATGCTCATTTGCCTTCAGTTAATTGGCTGAATAGCACAATGACTTAATCATCTACTAACTTGTGATCACACCACTATTCATTTTATTGTCACTGATGCCTGAATTTTAATAGCACCAACTAATTCACATTAGGGACAATTTAGAATAAAAATCAGGTCTGAGGTGGTTGGATGCTGGATTAGTGAAAGCAACTGCACACTGTCACCTTTTGTTATATGAAACTGAATCAGACTGGAACTTATTTAAAAAACAGTATTTTTGTATCAGGTATATTGAAGATGCTTTACAATGTAATAGACTACAATATATTGGTAGCAAAGCAACTGACTGCATATGTAAATTCCATCATTAGGCACTCAAGCGCAAACCTGTTTCATTGACAGAGGAAATGTTGAGATTACCTGATATTTTTCCTGACCAAAGATCTATCTTTGGATTTCACTGTGGCCCAGAGAATGAAGCAAAAGAATCTGGCTAAAGAACAGCACCTTTCCACAGTCCATTACTGTGCATTGTCTCAGGTCCGGATCCAAATACTAGACACGTGAACTGAGATTTACTGAATCTACTCCTCAGCATCTGTAATACTATAAATCTGTCTACGTGCAAGCTGCTTTCCTTCTGTATTAAAGGTTGCGAATTGCAATCACTTTGGCAAAGTAAGTTGTATTGCATCATATTGATGCAGTTACAGACCTAAGTCTGCTTCATCTTGGCTGTTCTGAATTAATGAAAAAGAAGGATTATATACAAACATTAGACTATTATTTTACATACTGTAATGCAGCGGGCCATTCATCTAATTTCGGATGGTTTTTAATCTGTAGCATTTTAAAAGATTTCTGGATAAATAAATTTTATTCTACATATGAACGTTTCAACCAGCTAAAATGCAAACCAATCATACTCTGAATCACTACTGCCCTGTATTTATGTTGCTGTAATTTTCGTTCAACTATTTAAATTTAATTATATGACCAAATTACAAAAGTGTCTGAGTGCTTCACAATCTTTACTACATGTATCTTCACAATACCACTGAGAGTAGGCAAGGTCTATTAACTCTGTCTATAAAATAGACATCTGAGGCACAGAAAGGCTAAGACTTGCTCAAAGTCACATAAAAAGTCTGTGGCAGAACAAGAAATTGAACCTGGGTCTTTTAGGTGCTATGCTAATAGCCTAACCATAGGGCCATCTTTTTTTCTAGCCAAGTATAATCTCAAAGTCACACTTGCTTTTTTTGACTACAGTATTTTAATTCAAGTAATTTTAATAATTATATTTTAAACTCACAGTAAACCAATAAAAAAAAAGTCAGCTTCTGCCTTTAGTTTGGCTTTTCTGTTGGAGATCTGAGAGGTAATCTACTGCAGAATGCCATGGAAGAGTTTATAAAATGAACTGCTTCATTTACATATTTCTGTACACAGGGAAATAGCCAAAATACTTATTCCATGCTAGTTCTCTTTGTGGTGAACCCTGGTCTACACTAGGGAGTCATTTTGAAATAACCCGCCTTACTTTAAAATATTAAGTGCACCATCCTCACTACCAAGCCCTTTATTTCAAAATAACAGGCTGGTTATTTTGAAATCTGTACTCCTGCTTTCCTCGGGGAATAACACTTATTTTGAAATAGTGTTATTGTGGATGCTCCACTGCTGCGATTTTGAAGTAACTATTCCCCAGAGTAATTCAAAGTAACTACTCCCCAGAGTAATTACTCCCCAGTGCTTCCTGGGGCTCTAAGTCAAGGTAGCACGTCCACAATAACAGAGCCTGCCTTGGACTAATTTTGAGGCTTGCCCATAGTGGGGACACGCTATTTCAATTTTGTTAGGGCAGGAATCAGGACAGCAGAGAAGGGTGAGGAGTTGGGGGGCAGCAGGTACCAGGGGAGCTTATGGAATAAAGGGAGGAGACATGGCAGTGGAGAGAAAAGGTAGAGGAATATAAGATATTTATTAATAATTTGGGTGCCACAGTGGCACATACAAACAAGTCACATGAACTCAGTACTGGTGCACAACACAAAATTCATTCTGCTCATGGGAGGAAACTCTTAGGCTATGTCTACACTCGCGGCTTTTTGCATAAGAACATCTTGTGCAAAGGTTCTTGTGCAAGAAGTCTTGTGCAAGAACATGTCCACACGGCCATGTGCGAGCTGTGCTTTTGTGCAAGAGTATCCATGGCAGTGTGGACACTCTCTTGCACAAGAAAGCTCTGATGGCCATTTTAGCCATAGGGGTTTCTTGCGCAAGAAATCCCTGCCGAGCGTCCACAGTGTCCTCTTGTGCAAGAGAGCTTACATCTGTTAGAAAAGAGCGTAGCTCTTGTGCAAGATGCCCTCTCTTACCACGCCGTACTGTAAATTCCTTACGCAAGAGCAGGCAGGTGTGGATGCTCTGCGGGTTCTTACACAAGAATGGCTGTACTTGTGCAAGAAGCTGCGAGTGTAGACATAGCCTTAGAGGGAACACTTCCCCCAGCCTCTCTGCCCTGAGTTAATGTCACACACATTGAGTTAATGCAATTGCAGGATAGTTGCATGAGGGAGGGGGTTGGTGGGGGCCAAACTAATACCTGTTGGTAGGAGGATGGTGGGAAAAGTCCTTCGAGAGGGGTAACATGACACCTTTTACTTCTGGTCATGTGTCCATCTTTCCCCTGAGCAAGTTACCTCCAGAGGCCTGGATAATTGGAGGTCAGGGGGTGCGGCTCACAATGCACCACCAAAAATTATATAAACCTGCCACCGCTGCTCTCCAGTTCCCAGCTCTGAAGGCAGAAGCAAGGGAGGCAGCCTTCTTCAAATGTGAGTACGCAGCCAACAGAGTTGTGAAGGCAGTGCAGAACGGTGGCAATAACACAAACTCCCCTTCCTAAAATAACCTTGTAATTCCTTGCAATTCCCTTTTGGGTCAGGACTCCCAATTTGAAAAAATCTGGTCTTCCCCCATATTGGTATAGTACAGGGTAAAAAGCACAGAAAAGACCAGATTTCAGGGAGAGGGGAAGAACCAAATTTTGTGGTCAGTAACACGTTTTTCATAGTTGTGAATTTGGTAGACTCCCCCTAAAAATATATGCATAAAATATGAAGCTGCTCCGTGCAGTCTTGTTCAGAAGCTTCTGCTAATTTTCTTTCCTTAAGCATTTATAGGCTCCCATTTTCTACTGCATTTATTCTATTCACATGAATCTACTGATACAAATAGACTGAATAACTGTGCTTTCACCCCGTTGTACCT